ATTTCAGATAATGCATTTATGACCACAATAAATACATTTCCATCAGAATCTGCTGACTTTTAGATAGAGAATACATTCTTGTCAGCGTGCGCTTCAAAAGCCAGTCAGACAGAATAAAAGAGAGCTAACCAAATGAAACAGGGTCCAGACTGACAACTTTGCCAGCCACAGTGAGAACATCACAGAGAGATGGGAATATAAGACTTGGCAAAAGGGAAAAAATCAGCAGCCAAATTCTACTGAGCAACCAATACGCAGATGACAGGGGAAAGAGCTGGATAGTTTAATAAGTAGCTACGATATACATTTTTAAAGTGCATTAAGAATAGCTTCTAAATAAGGGGTAATATTCATCTGCTCTGCTGGTGGTCCTGCTCCGCAGCTGCCTTGTTCAGAAGCCGTGCCAGTCTATTCAAATCGCACTGGGATGCTGTCACATACTTGATGTGACAAATCAGGACTCGCATGATAATAGGTGTGAGGCCAGTAAACAGCTAGTGAGCTTGTGTAGTAGCCGCCATTTTGTATTTATTGGACACTCAGCTCAAAGATAAGAACAAAATGGAAAAAAACACAGGCTTGTCACCTCAATGCCATCTCCTACCATCTGCTGGAGCATTTTTAAAGCTGCTTTTACCAGCTCATCCTTCACTGACCATTCTGAAGAAGGTCAGTGGCTTTACTCTTCTTTAAACATAATTAATGCCTCAGTTTCCCCAGTGATATGTTCTGAGATGGCTTATAGAAGCTGAAAGCCGTAGTCTGGCAGCAAGACAGCCCAGGTCCTTTAACCACCCACACCCCCAAATCCCTTGCTCTCTGCTCCCTGTTTCTGCCCCCACACCTCAGCTTTCCTCTCAGTATTTACCAGTATAGCTGTCTGTAGGGCAATGATGAGGACTCCATATAACTGAATTGATTCAGGTTTAAAATAACTCCTAGAGATTGGGATATCTGGGGGGATTTTTTTAAGGGTTATTTTTTACCTGCATTTCCTCTCAGCTCCAGTTTGCAGCACAGCCTAGGAAACAGTTGTGTCACCTCAGCTGCACAGGGTTTAGCTTAAGGTTGGGTAGATTGAAAAGGGCAGCTCCTTTCTACCATTTCATTACAAAACTGGAGTGGCAGGCTGTTTATTCTGCATTCAGTTTGATATTGTTACTGCTTACTTAGTTCAGATTTAAGCTAACCATCTCTTAGTATTATTTTTCTTTCTCCCCCTGCAGTGTACTAACAAAAGACCACAATTTTTTTTCCTGGACCGCCCTTTTTAATGTCTTTTTTCCCCCCCCTTCTTTCTCCTCCCAGTTGCCCTCCCCTAATGTTTACACTGGGAAAACACAAAGCACAAACTCCAGAACAGGTAAATGGACATAATTCTATCTAATTGCCCAGACATCCTAATAAAGAGTCTGCTGATGAGATGGGGTTTTGTTGGTGGGAGATTTTTTTGTATGGGTTTAAAGCATACTCCACTTTTTGAAATGCTCAATCCAGTTGGATAACACAGGATGAGTCATGTATAGAGGGGCTACTTTGGCCTCACGCATTTTGCAATGCAGGAATGTCTTTCCAAGCAAGAAAATGTGTAAGAAAAAACATTAAAAAAAACCCAAACCAACCACAAAACCCTTAATCCAAAAGCTGATTTTGTTTGCTTAAGGAGATTTTACAGTTTGTTCTAGGAAGAATTTGTCAGTTCTTACTAAGAGTACATTTTATTTAAGGCCAAAGCAGCAGCAAGAAAAAGACAACACCCAAATGATCCCAAACAGATGCAGAGATGAATGCTTTCTCCACTTTTGTTTGAGTCTGTGCTTTAATTCTGCATAATGCAAAAATTAGTCTATTAGCTACATAGTTTGGGGGATTATTCTGATTATTTTCAATACAAAACTTAAAAAAAAAACCAAAGTAAAAAAACACCACTTGCCTTTATCGTTGTATGCATAAACACACAGAATCAAACTAAAACCAAAGCTTTTAGTAAGAAAACTTAGCTAACTTTTTACTAATTATTTCAGAAGAGCCACGTTATCACTTTAAAATGACAATCTTACAGTGTAATTATCTTGAAATTATTTGATAATAAATCTAAAAAGTAATTGCAAACCAACAGGAGAGCATCTAACTTCCCTTCATGGTCAGGAGTTGTCAAACATTGGTCAGGTGTGCCACAATCAAAACCCAAATTTCTCAACTCAATGGCATTGGCCGTTTTCAAATTAATCGCCATTATCAACTAAATAGCATCCTCCAAAAAAAATTTCCAGTCTTTGGATAGAACAGGTCAGAGACAGTCTCACTAACCTAAACATTCTCTAAAGAGTCATTTATGTGAAAGGGTAAAACTCAAACACCAAAGAAAATATAAATACAGTAAGGAAGTGCTTCAAGAAAATACTGATTGAAAAGAAGGCAACAGACTAGAATAATTATTTTCAAAATCATTTTCTAGGTAAACTGTAACATTTTTATTGCCTTAAAATGTTTTTATCATATAGTATAAAGTGCTTAATTTGCTCTTCAGATGTTGCCTCTACTCCTCTTTGAGACACCTGTCTTTATTTATTTATTTTGAATTTACAGTTATTATCCTTGCAAAAGGCTTGTATTTCACTCCTTTACTTCCCATGGAGTACTTTGGAACAGGAAACTGTGATGCTAAAGGTAGAGGCCATGCAAAGTTGGAGTACAAGAGTATGCAAACAAGTACTCAAAAAGAAACCACTTCTCCTAGCAGCCTAGGTGAATGAAGATATTCCTGGCATCCTAAGGCCAGCAGGACAACCCATTCTTATGAAAACTTTCATAATTTGTCAATGATTTCTGTAAAACTCAAGTAAAAAGGATATTACTGAAGATATTTTATACCTGAAGCACCCAGCTGAGCTCCTCATCACTGTCTAAATAACTGAACAGAATTTCCCTAGTATTAAGGTGAAACTTGGTCTGCAGCACTCAGCCTGAATGGATGTACAAGGAAAATGTAGCCTAGTAATTTAGTGAATTAGGAAATGCCTTTCTGGCAAATTGAGAAAAACGGTCATATTTTTGTTCACTGTGGACCCTCCCTACAAAATTCCCTCCAGTTATAATCCAATCTCCATAAAAGTTTGCAATCTACAAAGCACATAATTACTATTTCAATCATTACAGATGGAAAAACATTGAGGAATTGACACTAGTTCACTGTCCAAGACACGTCTGATGCAAGGGAAAGAAACCACACAAGCCAAATACAAAGCTCCACACCTGGGAAGAGAGGCCTTGTGTTCAAGGAGTTAGGATATGGAAGCGTGGATTTCACCTGTCTCACTTAGGTCTTTTCTGGACCAATTTTACCCTGGCCCCAAAGCACAAAAGGGAAAAAAAAAAGCTTTTCCCCATGAAAAGTTTATCAGAAATGTCGGCAAAGGTTTAAGTTTTGAGCAATGAGCATTCTGTAATAAAAAACTTCCCAGCTCCATGACTGCATCTTGATCATTGCTGCAATGAGGAGAGGCTGTGAGGAACACTAGTTTAGATTTGGTGTGAAGTCATGCACAAGGTGTTTGGAATTTTCTATGTGCCGTATGAATGTTTTTATCACTGTTTAATTCTATAGGATGTGAACACTTGAGTTATGAACCAAACTCCTCAAAGCACTTTAAAAAAAAATCTCATCCTATATCTTTCAGAATAAAGCTTGCTGCTACAGATGCACTTTTTTAATAAAAACTTCATTAGTTTACTGCTTGTTTACACTCAGCATTAGGTGCACAATGTAACATACAGTATTTGGCTACTGACATTCAATAGTCTTACACACTCCAGTATATATGAGTAAAAAACAAACAAACAAACAAATGAAAAAAAGCAGAACAAGAAGAAAGGATTCTTTCCTTTTCAGCTTTTTCAGAAAAGAGCACAATAACTAAGTCAACATGTCACAGCAGTTTAAGAGGGAACTTATCAGAAGCTACTTGGTTTTTTGACTAATGTTTTCCTTGTATACTACAGATAAATATTCTGTACAAGCAGAAGCTATCACTTCTTTATCAAAATCTACAATTTCTTTTGAATTCATTGAGAAATAAAAATTTTAAAAATCACAGTGAGATAAATTTGATTCTGTAATTGCAAACTCTTATGTTGTTTTATTGTTTTTCTTGGTTATGTCTCACTGAAAAATGTGACAACACATGTCCCTGTGAAACATTTTCCTTTTGTTAAGCCAGTATTCTTCTGAAAGCAAGCTATTTCACTCAAAATAAAATTACATATACTCAGCTTACTCATTTGTATAGCAACTGAGGTAAATGAGTCTTGATTTCTGCTGGGTTTTCTGAGTCCCACTAAAATACATCCAGTTTTGGGAGAGGGAAGTTAAGGAGGTTTGGGTGGGCTTGTTTGTTTGTTTGCTTATACTACTTTTTCTTGGGTAAGAAGTTTAAAAATGAGAAATAGTTATTTTGTTAGGGCAGTAATACATTTCAGTCATAGCTCCTACAGGGGGGAGAAAAAAAAATGCACGCCAAAGGCATGCACCCGTGTCCTATGCATCTCTGTTAAACTAGAACAATAAGAGCTCTACCTCTGCCTCAGGGAGCCTGAAGATGGTATCAGCTGTCAAACTTCCCTGCCCAACCAAACTAAGCTGAGTTTGCAAGATACAAGAGGATAAGAGCATGAATGAATTCTTTGCAAAAGGCAGCCAGATATCCAGTGCTCAACGGTAAGCAGAATGAGGAGGAAGCTGCTGGAAGCAAGAAAAGTAATTGGAAAAAATACATCCCCAGCGCCAAGTAAAAGCAATGGATAATAACACATTGTTTAAACAAAATGTAAAAACCCTATACTAAACTGCTTTGAATGTTCTTTCCACATTAGACATCTGTGCTTATTTTTGGGAGTTGACTAAACTACTAAGAATTATTGTGTACTTTAAAACTCATTTAGCACCTGTTTAACTGATCAGTGCCTTACGAATAGCTTATGAGAAAGAAAAGGAGACTCACCTTGTATAAAGCAGGAATGATCTGACGCATTTTCAGCCGATGAAATACAAAGATATCGTACACTGCTGAAATGGCCAGAACAGTCACTCCTTGCTCCTTCCATAGCATGCTGCATCCTGCACACAGCCCTGCTCCCAAGATCCAGCCCCAAGTACTCAGTGAGGAACCTCTGGTAGAGCAGTGCTTCACGTAACACATCAGGGAAAGCAGAAAGAAGAGGCAGGCTCCAATGTCTGCCCTCCCCACGATCCCTGCTACGGCTTCCGTGTGGATCGGATGAGATGCAAACAACAGGCCTGCTATCAAGGTCCAGTACCCATCCCCAAACAGGATCCTGGAGAAGTTTGTGAAAAGGCCTGTGACTGCAGCATGTAAGAGGATGTTTACAAGGTGGTAGCCCCATGGGTCCATCCCTCCAACAGCATGGTTAATGCGGAAGGAAAGTGTGCAGAGAGGTCTGTATGACTTGTGGCTCCCACTGTGAGTGAGCAGTGTCCCCCAGAAGTCATTGTAGAAGATATGGGTCCACGGCGTCTCAGGCAGAAGGTCCTGGTTTGTCTTGATAGCTCGACTGCAAAAGACAAATAAGAAGTTCATTTCAGCAGAAAGAAAAGGGTACAAATGAAAGGCTGTGAAAATGCAATCACACTGCTACCACAAAAAAGAATGGCATTGCTTTGGTGCTGCTTTAATTCAAGTTTTGAATTTTTACAGGAGGTGTTAGAAAGCTACATATCTATTGACTTCTCGATAAAGCAAAATTTCCATATAAATTGGCTTTTAAAACATTAGAAACAGATGTTACGCTGCTTCCATTAAATTAAAACACCCTTCAGTGACATTCTTCTGAGTCTAACCCAGGAGTAATCGGTTAAGATTTGATGAGTTATAATTAAAATGTAAAAGAAATATGAAAAACTGACAAACATTATTGTTGAAAGAACGGATCCTCCAGTAATTCAGAACTAAAACCCCAACTGGCCTTTTATATTGAAATTTTAATTTAGATGTTGGAATGAATCTCACTGACATGGATGAACAATAAATACAGAAGTTGGTAGGAGCATGCAAATTGCTTGGTGCTGTACGGGGCACTCCCACAACTGTCTTATACATATTTTGACTGACAAGTTTTTCTGCTAACACCTTGCTGGAGACAGACAGCAGAATATTTTACAGAAGACAATACAATTTCTCTTCAAATTTCTTACATTTACAAGTGAGGAAAGAACATTTTTAGGATGTTTAAGCTTATTAATTCAAGTCTGTGTCAGCTTGATTAGAAAAAAAAAAAAAAAGTGTTGCGGCTTTCAGCATTTATGTTTCCAGCCACTCTGGCAAGTACTGGTGCCAGCCATTAGCAGTCTCCATGTCTAATCCACTACTGTAAAAATCTGTCCGCTATAATATTTGTCCAAATCAAATCATTTGCATGTACAATTTATGCTGTGGGAGAAGGTGTGAGACCTGCTTAGCACAAAAAGATGACTAGAATTTAATTAGTTACTTGCCTTTGTAACCAAAGTTGTATTTAAGCAATTCTTTAAAGATGCATTGTTCTTACTACTGAGCTTAACTCATTTAGCATTTATTTTACCAGGGTAATTAAGAATCCAGCCAGCTCAAGACTCTTCTATTAAAAATATTAGACAAAAGAGATGATTTATATCTAATTCTTTATTCATTTTCTCTTTCTGCCTTTCCAATAAATATCTTCCCATAATTAAAAATTTTTCAATTCAGATGAAGAAGAAAGAAAATTGGTGTGAAACTCTGGCTTGTATTTGAAATGCACTAGTCTAACTCATACTCCAAGACACCCCTCACATTCTCACTCCCAATAAAACAAGTCCCTCAGAACCTGTATCCAAATCCCATTTTTTTATGGTATTAGTTTCAGGAATGTTGTCTTGTTCTGTAAAGAAAAACGCTCAAACGCTGATATACTGCGCCACAAAATCTCCATGCAAATACCCTAAATACCACGCAGCTCAGCATTTCCATTGTCCGGAGCACATTGCTGTAATGCTTTCAGACATGCTTCCTCTCCGCATGTCCTTTTGTCTCCGAGCATATGGAGGTTATGGAGAGGTCAGTTTAAATCCTTTAAAGATCTGATGATGCTTTCTAGAATACTTCACAATTTTCATTTTGACTTCTGCTTATGCAGTGGATCAGGTTGCTTGTATTTGTTTTCCCTAGCCCACGCACATTTTTCTCATTGTAGTCCAGTCACAAAAGAACATTGCAAGAAAACAAGATCTTTGTTTTCACATTATTTATCTTGTCCTTCAATATAGTCCTTTCCTGAAATCCAATTCCTCTGCTTGTGATTTCAGTTTGTAGTATCACTCTCAGAACCACTATCAGAAAACTAGGAATTCAGCAAGAATAAAGCAGGTGTTAGGCTAGAAAGAGTCCTTCCTCTGAGAAAAACATAGTACATTAGACTACAGACTCCCAAATGCTAAGAATGGCTATCAGATGTCAGGATTTTGAGGTGAAACCTTGAACTGCAAAAGTGTTTTTCCTTGAGGAAATACTAGAAAATAAGTGGCAGTAATATGCCAGCGTGACTGCCCTCCCCTGAGGCAGAGCATTCTGCTACAAAGAGCCTAGATGGTGCACAGGTCGTTGCCAGGAAATAGTAGCTTTTATTATATCTTTGCAAGTGTGGCCATTTCCAGTATTTGGAGCCATGCAACCACTTTAAAAAAAACACAAACGGAACTACAGCCATCAGTAAACATGTATAAAAACACTCCACACTACCCTGCTACACTTGTTAAGAAAAGAGACCAGCCCTCTCCCTCTAAGATGAGCATTTTCATGCAGCACATACTCATATTGGACTATTTCCCACCAAAAGTAAACTGCTTTTCTCCAAATCATAAAGAAACCTATTGTACATTCTGAAGGCATTAGCTCAGTCAAATTTTATTTACAATCTTAGCAACAAACTTGATGCAACCCTGCTCCCTTCCTGTTCAGCCCTGTTCATGTTAAAAATTTAAATAAATAAATGAATAAACAAATCCCACAAAACACCTACAACAAAAAAATCAACAGGAAGCCTTGAAGATACAGTATTGATCACTCCACATCTGGGTACTGAATTCAGCAAAAAATTCTGAAATACTCCTAGTTTCTCATGCACGTAAAAGTGACAGATTCTAATATCTGTCAGTCAACATGAAAAACACAGAAGCTGCCAGTTCCAGCTTACTCCGTGGTCCAGTCAGGTCAAATGTTTAATTCTCTATGAGTCAAGATTTGAGCTAAAGTTAAAAGTTCTTTCCATACAGTTATTTTTTGCAAAATGTTTGAAAGTAAAAGGAAAAAAAACAAAGAGTCTGGCTAATGCTTTGGGATATTTGAAAAGTTTAATGTAAGAGGGAAGCTGGATGTCCTACAGCAAAGAAGCAAGTCTCAGTACAGGCTGCTCATTAACATTCACGAATTACTCTGTTTAACATTATAAAATGTAATAAAAACCACACTTGGCCAACCTTAGACTTGACTACACAGGAGGATGCAGGAATATGAGCATCTGAGATATCAGAGCCAGGCAGCTCTGTGTCATTTTGACCTCAAAAGTGGACAGGGTCTCAGTAACACTAAGGACACCACCAGCCTGGACACCATTAGTGTGGGTCAGACAGAAACAGCTCGTGGGCACATAATAACCAGCCAGGGCTGTGCCCATCTGCATCCCCAGCCTGGCTGGCTGACAACACTGGCAAGAAAAACATGCAATGAAATGTTTATCTCGGTGAAGGGGAGAGAAATACAAGCTTTGTATCTAATAAAATAAAAGAATAAATATAAACAGTACCAGATCACTCATGTCAGGACCCTGAGGGCACTGATAACCCTTGACAGCCCCGACCCCTCTTCGCCAGCTCTCCCCCTACCCTGTCCCAAGCCCAAGGCCCTATGTCATCCCCTGGGGCTCTCCCCACCTGCCCATGGCCCAGGACCCCACATCAGCCCCTCAGGGCCATCAGCCCCTGCCCCAGGGCCGGTCTCCAGCTCCCCCCAGCCCTGACCGGCCACAGGCCCCGCTGAGCTGGGCCCACGCATGGGCCCATGTCCCCACCTGGCCTCAGCCCCAGGGAGGTGCCCAACACCCAGGGCTGGCGCTGCCCCAGCTGCCCTGTGCCTGGCTGGGGCAAGGCCCTGTTTTTCTTTAATTACTAAATTAACAAGCTGTTAACTCTGCTGCAGTATCAATGCTTAGTCGCCAAATTCAATGGCAAATTTGAAAGCAGTCCCTCTTAATGGCCTGGCAGGTCACGCTGACATGTCCTTCATAAAGCCTCCCGCACTGGCAGCCACCCGTGCTCTCTGCAGAAAGAAAATAATATTAATTGCTGGCTCCAGGAAAGACTCTGGGATAAAGGAAACTACAAAACGCCTTATTAGCCTTGTCTTCTCCTTCACTCACAGTTTACCTTCAGGTTACGTCCCACAGATTAGTCCAATCTTGCTAATGGGCATAACAAGAGAAACTCTCCAACTGCACTCATCACTCAAACACAGCCCTAAACTCTGCTCTCGTTAAAAGGCAGCGGGTCACCAGGGAAAGTCATTTTTCAAAGCTCCAACACAATTGGCATTTTTACTTTCAAGCAGCCTCAGATAAGGTTTGCAGACTCAGTCAGGGAACTTGCTTTCTTCAATTTTTAATGTCTGCCCATTTCACGCATCCCAGGAGAGTGGGCTATCTTATTCAGTGTAAAACAAATGGATGGGTTTGAGAAGAGGGGGAAAAAGGGAATCAGAGTCAGCTATGAAGTCCTCAAAAATGGAAGTCTGAAGAAAGACAAAAGCTGTAAAGGCAAAATCACCATTTCCAATCCACTTGAAAGAATCCTTCTGCCTCCTGCCATAAACCGCTTATTTGCTTAGATTGGTACACACCTTGAGCACAATTCAGTAAGATTTTTTTTCATCAAACTCAAAAATGCCAGAGATCCAGGAGTCCACACACACACACACATATACATGCATGCACACATGCAAAAAATCCCAGATGTTTTTAAAATTAACAGCTATATATGTCCTAAACTTCTGCGCTAGTGCTAAACTGATCCAGGTGTTAACATCAGGGTAAAAAAACAGATGCGACATTCTAAAGTGATTTAACGCGTTAAGCCTTATGTCCAGCTTCAATATTGCTAATGGTCCCCATATGCTCAAAATGAACATCAGGATTTGAAGTAGAGAGCATAATTTAAAGAAAAAGGAGAACTCCCAAATGTGCACACAGGAAGCCATTGACCAGAACTCTCTCACATAAAATAGATAGGCAGTGATGGACTGGCAAGTCTCTTCATTGCTTTTCCTCAAGATCATTTTCGAATACTATTCATTTACTCCTTTTTCATAAATAGCAATGGGAAAGCACCCTAGAGTATTTTTACAGTGGATCTTAATGAGTCAACCCAAGGATGCTTTCGAGATTATATGTTACTTGTATAAACAACAAGCCTGAAAACACAGCCTACTTTTTGGAGTACAAACATCTTCACATCCCCAGAACATAGAGCAGCTGAGTCAACCCTCCAACTACTTACAGGCTATCTGTTAGGCGGGTGTGTGGTCAGAAACCAAGCCAGTAGAGCTTGTCATACTTTGGACAATATTCCTACTTGCCTTAGACTACAATACACATGTAGTCTGTATTTCTTAAGACAGAGGTCTTAAGAAAGAGATAAGCTTAAGTACAGGAAAACACATTCATTTAAATGTTTAATTATAGACTCAAGGGAACTATTTGCCATTCTGGTAGATTTCTGGTGGCAATTATGTCTTACATGTTCTGTGTTAAAGTTCATTCCTTCTCAACAGTTGTGTAAGTGGAATTTATCTGCAAACCCAGCAGGCATTAAAGTTTTATCCATGCCACCTCTCAAAAAAAGATCCCTATATTGTGTATCAGGTAGGGACACCTGCAGGAGACCAAATCCTGTGCATCCCCTGGGTTTCAAGTTGCAATTTTTGGTTTCTCTTAAAAGCAAATTTTCTTAGGTGAAATGCTAAGGAATAGCTAATAACTCAGCTGTTTTCAGATTGGAAATACTGGGTAACAGCTAGCTATGTGATATATAGGATCCTGAGTTTCTAGCTAGGCTCTGAGAATAGGACTATAGGTACCAAACAGATTGAAGGAAACGCCTAAGTTCAAATCATATTTTAGATTAAAGGAAAACCTAATATCACAAAAGGGAAATAAAGTTCTAGTAAACTAGTGCCTCTGCTAATAGCATGTTCCTTTTCTAACTGTATAGAAACACTGGAATGCATCAAACTCAGAGCTCAAACATTGGAGACAACATATATTTTTAAGATAATATTCCTATCCTCTGTAACTGCTAGTGAAAGCTATTGACCAAATACGTAGTTAGTACAGGGATTCAGAAGAACATATTAACACGTGATAATATATTTTATAGATTACAGACTTTCACTGTCCCATAGCAGTAATTTCACAGTCAACATCAGTATAGTACCAGAACAAGCAGGAACTACAAGTAACAGGACTGTAGTGTTTTACTCATAAAACTTCCTTGGGTGAGACTTTCCTGACTTAGATATAAGCAGAGTGGAAAGACGGATGAGTGAGACAACTGCCAAAAATTCATACACGGAGAAATAAACAAAAATCCCTCCAGAAAACAAACAGAAAAACCACAGAGAAAGGTTATGGTCTTGTACCGTAGTATAAAGACATGCAGACTTTCTAAGATTTTCTAAGCTGCACAATGTCTTTTAAAGGAATTGATCTTTCAAAGTAAGCAACAGAAAATTGCAGAATTAAATGGCCAAAAAAAGACATCTAAGCAAGGTAACTTGCTCCTTGTTTATTTCCATTAACATTTCTATCTGCTGTGGTTTGACTTCTTCCACCAGAAGGCCACGACTCAGCAGTCCATCAGATGCAGACTTGTGGACTTTATATCTTTGTGACTGTTACTTGGAAGAAGGAAGCTGTGGCAGTAGTTACAAATAACACGAAATGCTTTTGGGCACTACCTTAACTAGACTGAAGTATGCTGCATGCATTGATTTTCTTATTGACCAAAAGAGCTTTGAAAACTTTAAGTAACTAAAGGTTCAGAATATTTTGGTTACAAAAAGGCTGATATAACCTGAAAAATCTTTCCCATCCGGTACATAAATATTTCAAAAGTTAACTATAAAGGCTTTGAACTGTATCTTTCTCCATAACATAAACCTTCGAAGTGTGTCCTCATATGCTGAAAGAATTTGGCTTTAATATTAACCCTAAGTGCACCTCACTCTCAGTTTAAGCTTTAGCCTGACATAACAAACACTAAAAGATGGACTACGTGAAATTTGAAACTCTAATTAATACCAACTGTCTTGCACAGTACTACTTAATTATTCATGTATAGGTAAAAAAAGCATGCTGGAGGGAAGTGAGAAAAGTAATTAATATTTTCTGATGCTGAACAATAGGATACCATCAGTTTCCTCAGGAGGGAGCAGATAAAAATGGGTAAGGGCTCCTGTCTTTTGTGTCTGCTCCCTGAGTTTCTTCACCACAGCATGCAGAGTAGGGCTGTGAAAATACACTTATTGAAAAAAATACTTAGATGCCTAAACCAGAAAATGCTTTTTGCGGTTCTCACAGTTGTTTCATAAGCTACTTTTTCTCCTGACTACACCATACAACATGAAATTGCAAATTCTGTTCCTCTAAGACTTCAAGGTACTTAGTATTTACCTGATAACATGTTCTTTCAAACACACATTCAAAGTTATTCTTTAAAAGTACTCTTCAGTTCCAAACTACTACCTGGCAATAATTCACCATTTGTTTATTTTATATATATGTAATACCAGCTTCAGAAGCATGGTCAGAATTTATAGTTGGAACCTCTGCTGCCCTTTTCAAATCTACTTTAAATGACAAAAGTGGGCCCAGCAGGCCTTATTAGATTTACTGTTCTGCAGTAGAATATGGCACTATACTATTTCTCTTCTTCACTTTCCTTTGAAAAAATAAAACATGAATAATTTTTGCCATTTCTCCATACAGCAGCTCTCAGTAATACAAGGACAGACATTTTAAGGCTTGAGAGTACAATACTTAGAGTAGACATGTTGAGTTTTTTAACCCGATTAATTATATGAATATTAAACTAATTTTTTGACAACCTTCCTTTCCAAGACACATACATTTTAAGCCATTATCTGAAAGTAGAGGCACACTATGAAGGTACCACTATGGAATAGTTTTAGTCATACATCAGTCCCATGACCATCCACTTGTCTGTTCTTTTCAGTACGTGGCAGACTATACTAAGAAAAAAGGCTTAGTAATTTAATTTTTGAAAAATTACCCATTTTTTTCCTTTCAATCTATTTTTTTGATGCAGTTTCAGAAAGTTCAACGAGATTGTACATAATTATGCCTAAACACACGCCTCTTGTGTAGTCTAAATTTATAGCCCGAAATAATTTTTAGGTGCCACTCTGACTTTTATTTTTAGTGAAGCACTGAAAAGAATACCCAGGAACACGTACACATACAAATATAGAAATAATGAGTAGAGAAGAAATTTCTGAACCACAACATTACATACAGACACTCTCCTTTTTATATGTGGGGGTGAGGAGGGTGGTGGAGGATAAAGAAATGCATCAAGCTATTTTGACTAAGTTCCTTTCTTCAAGCCTTGTATTTAAGCACCAAAAGAACCTTTCATTAACCAAGGTCTGGTCTAAACTTAAAGTTTTACTGGTTTAACTGAAAGGTGTTATTCAAAATCTATTTAGTGAAAACAATTTGGTGTATGCATACACACAAATGTCAATCTAACCTTTATACTGGCTTTAGAACTCATACTGAAAAATTGTCCTTATTGGGGGAAAAGGGAAAAAAAACCCAATCGTAGACCCAGCTATCATTGGTCATATTCATGTTTTTCACTGTATGAATCAAGTGATTCAGAGAGCAGTCAGAACCACCCTGGATTTCATTATCCACAGAAATGCCAAGCAGAGACCACGCCATGCTACAAACTTTCAGCTCTGGAATTTGTGCCCACCTA